GTTGAATTTCAAACTTTCATAGACACTAAACTTTTTGGCGTCACAGAGATGAACCTTAATTTTACTGTATTGAGATAATTTTTAAACATCAAACCAAGAACAGCCTCTGAAAGTCATCTTAAAACCAGACAGTAGTTTAATTCATAAAAAAAAATACTTAGTCCTATCTTATTATTTACCTTCTTCCAGTCTATACTCATGGCCTAAAGGGGTGTGTGTGTGTTTATGTCTGGTTTACAAATGGTTCTGACAATATGTAGGCATCACTCAGAAGCAGCACTGCAACATTTTTTTTTAATTCTCTGAGGGATGACTGATAAAGGGAAATCTTCCCAGTGTGCAGAATTTTAAATAGTGCATCTTGCTGCTCATTGGAAGGAGGGATGGCCAGATGTTTAACTATTTATTTATTAATGGGTTGGCTGAGTAATCAAGGACTCAGAAGAAATAAGATTGGAAATTGGTGACAAGGAGGTAGGGGAAGAGGCATGTACACAGAGCTCTCTGAATGGTCCAAAGAAATAAAGAGGTTTGTGTTCATGTGAATATTCATCAAAGGGTGGATAATCAATAATGAACAGGGTAGGATGATATGTTCTGTGTGTACCTGTCAGATTTTTTCCTCATTCTTTGTCCAATGGAGTCATCAGCCAAGTGGCTATGGCGGCAATGATGGAGGTTACGTGTGAGCTCAGCAACTCAGACTTCCACTCACCAAAGCTGACTTGGCAATAGCTTCTGCTGAGCACCCAATCTGCCAGCAGCAGAGGTAACCTTGAGTTCCCAGTATGGCACCATTTCTTTAGACACAGCCAGCAGTAACTTTAAGGAAGGTTAATTATACCACACCACTTCTATCAGGGAAAGGACAGTGTTTTTGTTTTATTCTTAATGGGATATATACTTATTGCAGATATGAATGTCTTCCCTGCATGTAATGCTTCTGCCAAAACTACTATCTGTAGACTTAGAGAATGCCTTACCCACTGTCAGATATCCTACACTGCATTGGCTCAGATGAAAGCAATCACCTTATAGCAAATAAGGCGTGGCGATGGACCCATATTAATGGAATTCACTGATTTTAACATGTTTCCCATCATTCTGAAGCAGTTAGCTTGAAAAGAACAAAAGAACGTCCTAAATAAAATACCAATAATAAAATTATGTCCTAATAAAAAACTCAATTATGGTGGCAAATAGGTGCAATACCCAGTGGGGCTGGGACTATGTTCTCCAAGAATCTACAGATGACCTAAGCCAGCATTTAATATATGGTGACATTTCTCCTACAGCTAGGATTCACTGCTTTAGGAATCAAGGCACGGAAATGGGAGTGATACTACTATTACACCTAGCAACCCACTCACAAAATTTGTGCTTCCTGGCCCCCTGATCCTGGGCTCTGCAGGTCTAGTGGTCTAAGTTCCAAAGGGATGAATAATCCCACTAGGAGGCACACTACTTATTCCAGTGACCTGGAAGTTAAGAAATCTACCCAGTCACTTTGGGCTCCTTGTGCCTCTAGATCAGAAGGCAAAGAGAGAGTTACTTTATTGGCTAGTGTGCTTGATCCTAATTACCAAGGGGAAATTGGATTGACATTTTATATGGAGGTAGAGAAGAGTATTTCTGGAATATGAGTCCCCTTACGACATCTCTTGGTACTACTCTGTGAATTAAAGGCAATGGAAAAGGACCATAATCTAATTCTGATCTGATTACTAATGGCCCAGACCTTTCAGGACTGAAAGTTTAGATCATTTTATCAGGAAAGGAGCCATGACTGAAGTGAAGATAAAAAGAACACAAAATGAGTGGTAGAGATAGGTAGTTTAAAATACCGGTTACAGAGCTCTGGTAGTATAGAGTTCACTGATAAAATAAGGGGCCATGGTCTCAATCCACCAACTGCTCTGCAGAAGGAAGATGGGCAATGTCCTCCTGTAAATATTTACAGTCACAGAAAACAGACAGAATATTGCTGTCAGAATCAACAATAGTGGGTTTGGTTTTATCTATCTAGGAAAATTATTTTTGTCCTTCTCTTATTCTGTTACTTATTATAAAATATAGGAAGCTCTGGCAGGTAAGGAATTGCACTGTCAACCCAAAAGTATGAGGTTCCAATCCACCAGTTGCTACAGAGAGAAAGACAGGCCATCTCCTCGCATGCAATTCACTGCCTCACAAAACCTACCGGAGGGTCAACAAGTGTCGGTTCTGACTTGATGGTACACAACATTATAAAATATAAGATATAAATGGGGCTAGTAACTTCCATTATATATATGTTATATTGTTTTTGTTATGTACTATCATGTTGGAAGTGACTCATTGTTTTCAGAGGCAGAAACCAAAGATGCACTGGGAAAATCTGTGGTCAAGGACCTCTCCAGAGTAATGAGAAGCAAAGATTCAGTCTAGAGACTAAGGTGTGCCTGATTCAGGCCATAGTCATGGCAATTACTTGCTATGCATCATAGAGCTGGACAATGACTAAGGATGAGAGAAGAATTGCTGCCTTTGAGTTGTGGTACTGAAGAAGAGTCCTGAACATACCACAAGCCACCAAGAAAACAAAGAGATCTTTTTTTGGAGATAGTGAAACCAAGTTTCTCCTTGGAGGCTAGGATTTTGAAGCTCTGTCTCACATACTTTGGGCACGTGGCCAGGAGAGACCGGTCCTTGGAGAAGAACATCATGCCTAGAAGGGTAGAGGGACAGCACAGGAGAGGAAGACGCCTGATGAGATGGACTGACACAGTAACTGGGGTAATGCGGGCCGGTGTGTTAAGAGTCAGTGAGACTGGCTCAGGATAGGACAGGCTTAAGGGCTGTTGTACATAGGGTCACTATGAGTCACAGGTGACTCAATGGCACATAACAACAACAAACACCATGGGAGGAGGGTGCCTATTTTTGTGCCGTGGAGCAGCTGGTGGATTTGAACTGAGTGCCAGCATAGTTTGAACTTTGGGTTGGCAGCACGACTTTTTACTACTAAGTCATCAGAGCTCACATATGTTAGATGTACCATTTTAAGTGCAAATATGATTTTTTTTACTATTTTTAAACATATTTCACAAATATTATTTTATAATTGTGTTTACTTGAATATTATATATGGTTTAAGGAGAAGTGTATACATGACAAACTGACAAAGGGTGAACTATGATGGTTAAGGTTATAGCCTAGTAGCAAGATGCTGTCCAGGAATCTTGAAGGCACGCGGTTCAAGGCCACCAGCTGCTCTGCAGAAGGATGAGCAATCTCCCATGCAATTAACTGCCTCTAAAAACCCGTCAGAGGGTCAGCTATGGTTGGTTCCGACTCTACAGTACACAACAACATCATCATCAACCTGGCTAGACGATGATTCTTAATAGTATGGCAGGTGTTTTGTGATCTTATATAAATATCTTATCAGTTAAAGTAGAAATTGCCTGGAGGGTGTGACCTGCATCCAATGTATATGGCTATTGTGGCAAAGCTTGCCCTCTCTTGATTTTATATCTGACTTGTCATCCTCAGATTTCTGGTTCTTGGTATATGAGCCTTCTGACTTATTTGGGGATCTTCCAGCTCCTACAGTCCCATGAGCCATCACTTGTCTAACTAAAGATTTCAAGGCTTTCAGCCTTCACAACCACTTGAGTCAGGAGAAGCTTCTACCATTATACCCAAGATGCTACACTAAAGTAACTGGTCTTGAGATCCCAGCCTAAGACCCTGGCCAAATGATATGAAAGTTTTAGTTCTGGTCTTCCTCCCCTCCTCAAATAAAATTTTCCCTTTTTTCCTTGCAATGTATTATGGTATTTTCTATTTGTTCCTAGTACAATTCTTTCAATGCTGGTTTTAACTCAATGAATCAACTCCGTGATCCAAGAATAAGTCTCAATATATCATTTGAAAAATACTGTCTTTATCCATTTTAAACAGTGTCGTAATCCATCTTGGATCATGGCACTCAAAATAGTTCTGGTCTTCTTGTGTATTATATAGGTCACAAGTAATTACTATAATGAGAAGGATTACTAATTTGTGTGTGTGTGTATGTGTGAATTCTTACTCTTATGATGCTGACTAGCATCTCTAGGTTAGGGAAGTAGTCAAAGATTTTTTTTTTAAATAAAATGATCAGCTTTTATTATTCTCAACATCAGAGAAAACACAAAACATGGGTTTGACTTAGTTCAGTAATGCTTACAATTTTTCTGAGCCAATCACTCTGGGAAAATCTTGGGACTCTGGTAGGAAAGTTCAAGTACATTCAACAGTGTACCCATACGATTTTTCAATACTGTAAGACAAGGATCTCCTAAAAAAATTTTGAGCCCATCATGCCAGGAGCTTTTTAAACAGACTTTTTAAATACAGCAGGCCCAAGGTGCTTTATACCATTGGGTTAACAACAATGCACAAATGTGGAAAGTATGCTGGTATTTGCATACAAAAGAGGAAGAAGTAGTCTAATAGTCTTAATCTAGGGGTATAAGCATGTGTTCCTTCTGAGGAAGGTGGTACTCTGAGAATATCCTAAAATCTGGCACAGTGGTTGAGGCCGTCCCCTAGGAAAGTGGATAATCCTTAAGAAATTTAAACAGAGGTTGTAAATTGGTGACCATGCCCCAAATCTGGCTTCTTGTAGAAATATTACTGTATCTCTACAAGGCTTATTATATAGGGTCTAAAAGTTTTAAAATCAGTTACAAACTTAAACATTTAAGCCTGTGCAGATATAACTTTCTAGCCTCTTGAAAAATTGAATGATAAAGAAATATCAATTACAGCCAATTTACTCAGGTCATGAATGTTCTAGTAACTACGCTACTACTGTCTTACTCATTTAAATTTCCTGTTTAAGTTCGATAGGCATCTTTGAGAAGATCTAAGGAGGAAAAGCATCTATTTTTATGGTTAGTCAGAGGAGCCAAACTGTGCTCCAAGTACCCTTGGTTTTCTGCTTTGAGTCTACGCAGGGGGTCCCCTCTCACCTGATGAGTCAGTGACAGCTGGGTCCGCCAGTCGTCCATAGTGTGCCATGAGTTTAAGCTTGGTTTCTTGTTTCCTGTGTTTCTTGCCCACATAATGTTGTTGAGCCATGACGGGATCATTGAAAGTTGCATGGCAGAGGCTGCAGAATTTGTCAGGGTCTATCATGTCTCTGTTCTGGTGCAAGGCTAAGGTGGAGGCCACAAGAAAAGGGTTTGTAAGGTGTTTTGACAGAGCTGTGGTGAGAAAGTTAAAACAGAAACAATGAAAAACCCAGAAGGCGACAGGCTTTTGAGCGTGCTGAATGGAAAGGAAGGTCGCCGTCACCAGTCACACCTGCAGACGTGGCACTGCCTGTGTGAATTACACAGTGAACATCTTCTCTAATTGGGGAAACTGGGAAACGTGGAGAGCCCAAATAGCACTATTTTGTTCAGAAATTTCAGCTATTTTGTTCATCAGCTTTAACTATTTTAGGCACAATGAGTCCTGATGGTCTCATATTCTGAGGAGGCTATGAGAGTCCGTTATTAAGTCACCAAATTACAAAACAGAGATATGCATACTTGCAGTCTTTTCGGCTCTTAGAACTCCCTAAAATTTAACAGAGAAAGTGAGACTAAAAAATCTTAAGTATTTTATTCCCATCCTCAAAATATCCTAGTTACAGAGGTGGAAGATAACACATAGATGGGAAAACTGAGGGCTTGAGGCCCTAGAGCTCTCCAGTCCTTTAGAAAAGGGGATGCCTTTCACACCACATGACCTGGAAGGCTGAGTGGGAGAAGGGAATGACATCAATATCTGGTCACACATTTGAATGTCTGTCTTCCCCTTTGACCTTCATAACTGCCCCCCTAGGTTCATGGCATCATTCTGCTGCATTATAGATAAAAACTAAGAGGAAATGCTTGTTTAAAGTTCCTCAGTGAGTGGCCCTAAGACTGCGTGGCTCTTAAATCTATGCACTCTTTGAGATGCTAGGCTGCCAAAATGTAGCAGAGAGACCATATTGTTACTTTCAGAAGATATCTTCGAATCCAGCTAATCAGAATATGATATGGTCATATATGTAGATCTCCTGTGGGTCAATTACTCCCGATGGCTGAGAACAGACTGAGCCCTGCTGTGTTATAAAGCAGGTGGACAAGTCCCTAACAGGTCCCCATGACGTGGGCCAGGCCTTCTGCCCATGGTATGGGGAGAGTCCAGCAGCACTTGCAGGAAGATAAAATAGCACAGTGTTCGCAGGTACTCTTTCAATTCTGCACTCCTGGACTGGGGAAGATTTTGAGGATTTCTAGCAAGCCAGAAGAAGAAACTTACTTTCTTTTTTCTACAGTGGTCTTCCAGTATGGGGCATTTCAATTTCCCTGGTCATTGATTTTTATTTCAGCAAGTCATTTAAAAAGTAATGTATATGCTTCAGAACATTTAATAACATGAGAAAATACTCAGTTTGTACTATTGAGGAAAAAGCAGAAGGTAATAAAGAAATCTGTTTCATATGTTCTCAATTTTGTAGAACAGCAACTAGAACCACACAGATGGGGAAAAAGACTCAAAGCAGATATTCTAAGAGTGATTTCCATATTTCCCAACTTTTCTAAAATAAATAAATTTTTTTTTCTACCTCAGAAAAGGAGTAGTAACAGCATTAAGAGATACAGGTACTTTTAAAAAAGACTTTAAAATATGCTGAAGAGAAGCATCTGGGGTAAATGATGAATTAAAGTTAGAGGATATGCTTATTGAGGTATTAGGCATCCAACATAAATGAAGAAATACCCTAAAATATGAATAAAGTGTTCTATAACAAAGTTCACTGTAGCATTACCTATAATACCAAAGAAAGGAGGTACAGGGGAAATATAAATGTTCAACATTAAAGAAACAGTCAACTGTGGTATGATGGGTTGGTTGTAAATGTCATTAAAAACATTAATGAAAAAGTTTTTAAGAACATGGGGAAATATGTTATATGTTAAATCAGAACAGTATAAAATGAAATTATATATACAATCTGATAATATAATTATTAGAAGATATTATGTGCCAATCTATATGCATACTGGGATTTTGCAGAATCACCAGTGTATTAACAATGTTCCTCTATGGTGAAAGGATCTGTATGATCTTTTATTTTTTTTCTCTGTACATTTTACAAGATTTGAACTGGAACTATTCATAATGAAGATGTACATAAAGATGTTTATAAAAATAACTGGAACTATTCATAATGAAGATGTACATAAAGATGTTTATAAAAATAATAAAGCTAAGGTAGTCCACACTTATCGGCACATTATGTATGGATTTAATCTAGGAATATATAAATGAATATACACACAGATACACACATGTACACATAACAAAGACTAAAGGAGAAACAGTATTCCTAAATGTTAACAGTACTTATCTTTGATAAGGATAAAGTTATATGTAATTTTCCTTTTCACTTACTGATATTTTCTACAATATGCTTATACTATTTTTACATTAGAAAAATATAATTCCAGAGGGATATTTATAAACTCCCTTAACAACATAGAAATGTGCTTAAATTATAAAGCGGGGGGGGGGGAGCAAAATACAAATGGTACATGCATTATGAAAAACATATCTCCATGTGGAAAAAGACAAAAGTAAATACAGAAAACAACCTGAGTATGGCGTCTTTATCATTTTTCAGAGTCCAGGCCCTTTCTCAGCTGTGGAAAGGCAAGCCTGTGATCATATAAAGTTCTACTATTAAGCTAGTTTTCCTTGGACTAATACTTAAACTTTTTGTACCATCATGGGTAATAAAAGCACTTAGCACTATTATAGCTTAATGATGAACCATAAGCAAGGCCAATGGCATGCTCTAGTTAATAACTACATGACCATCCACCATATTTTATTAGGGGAGGGTTTTATTTATTAGCCATCTAGAGAATGGTAATAATAGCAACAATAGGAGCTGCCATTTACCTAGCATTTACTATATTGTAGGTGTTTCATAGATATTATTTTTGTCCTCAAACCCAAGAAGTAGAGAAAAATACACATGTATCATAGGTGAGGAAACAAACAAAAGTATCACAAACAAAGCAAACAAGAGTGCCAGCATTTAAAACTGGTTCCCTGTGACTCCAAAGCCCATTTCTGCTGCCTCATACCAGGAATAACTAGTGGGTATGATAAAAGGCTATAATTATAAGTAATTTTTTACCCTATCTTCAAAGCCTTCCAAAACACTGATATCTTAGAGTGTCAATATATTCTTTTTTAAAAAAAGAATAAGCAGTAGTATACTCCCTGGTCCAAAGTAAAGAGAGAAGTAACAATTATGAAGAAAAGAAAAAATTAAAGATCAAAGAACTTTCATTTGCAGAAATATCAATTCACTAATTGCAGTCAGAGAAGGTTAAAACCCCAGAAGTCAGGAGTTAATAAGATGAAAGGGAGGGTTGGGTCCCACTGGTGACAAGATAAAGGGGCTATTTTAGTAGCTGCTGTTCTGGGAATGAATTCATGACAGCTGCAAACGTAGCTTGCTGGGCAATAGTAGCAGCTCTGAAGTATTCAGCTTTGAAAGGCAAGTCCCTTGTCTTGAGGAGAACAGGCAGTTTTTGAGCATAAAAGTAAACCGTCTGTAACCTTAGCACTTGGGGAAAAAAAGGATTTGGCTTTCAACTTGGAACACATGGTGATTAGGGCACAGTGACGCTGGGAGGGAAAAACCTAAGTGGGATGGGAAAGGTAGGAGATGGAACGCTCTCCAGTGAGCACAGCCTGGAGGACTTGTCACTCCTGAGTTCTAATTATTAGGACAAAAGCTCAGGGCTAAGGACCTTCTTCAGAGAAAAACTGATGTAAGGAAAGGAAAGGAGATTAGGTGAGGCTTCATTTTAATTAAGTTGGGTCTACTTTGATATTTTCAAGGGCTTCTCAAAAGCAATTCAACCTCTCCTAGTCTGGCCCCAGTGAGCATTTCTGAGAGCACCCGGCCCAAATAGCACTACTCAGGAAAACCAGTACCTTCCACCTTAGTGGATTGCTGCTTCAGCTTTAAGTTCTTTGCGTGGGTCTTCCCCAGGTAGTGTGACTGGGCCACGACAGGGGAGGAAAAGGTCATGTTACAGGTGGGGCAGCACTGGTTCTTGTCTTTGCTTCTGCTGCTCTTCTGGTTGGGAGAAAGAACACAGGTCTGATCATGTCACTGCCCAGCCAGAAAATCTTTAAAGGTTTCCCACAGCCCATAGGAGGATGGGCATCTAACGTCCCTTCACAAGCTGACCCCCATCTACTTTTCTTGATTAATCTGCAGCTACTTCATTCCAGGTTCTATTCACCATTCCCCACTCTGTTCTCTGATACTCCTGGCTTTGCTTGGATCATTCCTACTGCCTAGGATACTTTTCCTTCCTTCCTTGGCTGCTTGGCATATGCCTGTTTAGATCGCAGTATCACCTCTTCTAGGAGATCTTGATTCAAGAAACTCATTGAACAAATAGTTAGCAAGCCTCTATATGTAAAAATTAACTTCAATCCTCCTCTAAACCCTAAAATGTTTTAAGCAGACCTCTAGTATACCACTTATTACTCTAAACTGGAAATGTCATATCTTGAAAGCCTTTCTGTGAACTAAAGTGCAACATTTGGGCATGAACTACCTGATTTGTCTATTTCTTAGCCTAGCACTCAGCCTGAGTCTGGCACACGGGAGATGCTTAGGGTTTGTTGAGCAAGTAGAACACTGTGTTTTATCTATTGATTATGATTAGATTAGAAAAGAATGTATTTCAAGTCTATATTACGGGCTCCCAAACTCTGTGAGAAGGACTGATATCTGAATATGGTAATCACTCTAAGATGAGGCTTCTTGGTCTCAGGAATATTGACATTATGAGTTGGATAATTCTCTGTAGTGGATTATGTTATATATAGTAGGATATTAAGCAGCACCTGTGACCTCTATTTTGTCCACACTTTCAAGTTGTGACAAGCAAAACTGCTTTCAGATACTGTCAAATGTGCCTTGGGAGAAAAAAAAATCAGCCCAATTTAGAGTCACTGCTTTGAGGTAACCATTTACCTAACTCTGAAGGAGACTGAGAGCTTCTAATATACACAGAATTGTACTTTTCAAAGTCCTTATGTAAGTGGTCTAATATGAATCACTAGAGCACCCTAAGAATTCAAAGAACCAGGGCACAATGAGGCAGGCACTTGTCCACAGTGAAGAGGTGACTAGTGAGATAACTGGGACTCTTAACTTCCTGGTAAACAGAGAGTAGCTACTAGAGGATGATTTCTAGAAAACCTAGAGATGAGACAAGCCAAGTCCTTCTAAACCTGTGGCCACTGTATAAAAGGCAACAGCTTGTAAAGTTAAGCTCCTATATGCTGAACATCTACTGGGAGCTGGAAGTTTTATTTCACAATATCCTTATGAGATAGGGATTATCAATACCATTTTAGGAAGGCCATACAAAATCATACAACCAGTAGGTTACAGATGTCTCATCTCATGACCTTTGCACAGACTCATAAGGAATAGAGACTTACACTCCCTTGGGGTAAGAAATCATTTCAGTATAATTCTCCCACTATCTTTGAGCAAAAAAGCAATCTGTGATTATATTTCAATCAGAGTGGGCATTTGAAAAGGTGTTCCTTCCACTTGCCTATTCAAAACATGGATGTGTTGAACTTGGCATTTTTCCCTTGGATCTCCCTTTGCTTAATGAAAGGGCAGCTTCTTGTCCTGCTCAACAAACCACTAGGCTTCACTTGTTGAGTCCCTACCGTGGGCCAGGCTCTGTGCTGGACCATATCTACAAACCATCTTTGTTTTAGGGAAAGGTATTAACATCCTCATTTCGTGTAGAGGAAGAGTCAAGGGTCAAGTCACACAGAAAGGCTAGGATTTGAAGCCAAGTTAGTTTGACTCCAAAGCTCAAGCTCTTTCCACCACACCAACTTGCCTGCTCACTTCACCAGGAAGTGAACAGTCTCAGTATGGCAGCTTATTACCTGATCTGAGTCTAGCTTCTTCGTTTCCCCCTTTAAAGTCTCCATTCCATGGATTGCTAGGTATCTCTTCACTTTGTTGGCATGTTTTTTGCTCTGTAAGAACCCAGGAAAAAGATCAAAGATAGCCAAAAGCTGTTTCATTCCTAAGGCACTCAAAAACACTCAATTTTCATCTGCTTCCTTCTACAAAAATGTCTGAAGAGGAGAGAGTAGGTAAAGAAGCCTTATTTATTGGGTTCCTACTCTGTGAAAGGTACTTTACATGCTGTCTGATTTAATCTCCATAATAAATCTTTGAGAAAGTGATTATCATCTCTATCTTAATGAGGAAACTGAGGATGAAGATGGTGATGTTTCTTGCCCAGGATGAGTAGCAGAGTTATGATTCAAACTTCAGTCTACTTAAAGCCAAAGCTCACACTTCCCTACTTTACCAAGCCACAAAGGAAGACAAAAATATAATGGTCCTGATTTCAATGGGAGAGACGAAACTCTGAGTAGTTAAGTCAACTTTCCAGTCATAAGCCAACATGCATGGAGGTATTTAGGTGGCTAAAAAAGGAATTATACTTCCCCATGCAAACAAGAGAGAAGCTGAGGTTTGGGAAGTAAAATGGTTCTAGAGTAACAGAGGCATACCTGGTAATGTGCCAACTTCTGAGACTCAGAAATGAGTAAGGCGCAGCAAACCTTACATTGGGTATTGGTAAAGAGACACTGGTTCTTCTGGATCATGTGCTCCACTATAGACAGGAAAAAAGAAAAAATCTTTAACAAACACATGTCTCTGCTACAGTACCACATCAACAAACATCAGTCATACAGCTCTTAATGCCTTATGGCTCATGCTATGTTCTCAAAACACTAAAAAAATCCCCAAACAATAAAACCCACAACCAATTTCAACCCCAGGTACTTCAGAATAGAGCTGTGTTCCACAGGAATCTCAATGGTTGTGACCTTTTAGGAGTACTATATTTTTATGTAAACAAATAAGGCTTCACTATATAATTTTTTTGTTAAGACATGCAACTCCATCATAAATTGTTTCTATGCACACTAGATTGTTGTTATGTGCCGTCGAGTCGCCTGCGACTCATAGCGACTCTATGTACAACAGCCCTAAACTCTGCTCTGTCCTGTGCCAATTGCACTGTCTCTGACACTCCCATTATCCCAGTCTCTGAATCAATCCATCTCATAGAGGGCCTTCCCCCCCTGCGCTGTACCTCCACCCTCCCAAGCATGATGTCCTTCTCCAAGGACCGGTCTCTCCTCCCAACATGTCCAAAGTATGTTAGAGGGAGCCTCAGAATCCTTGCCTCCAAGGAGCCACCCGGTTTAACCTTTTCCAGGACAAAGCTGTTTGTTTTCCTAGCAGTCCATGGTATTCTCAATACTCTTCTCCAGCACCACAGCTCAAAGGCATCAATTCTCCTT